CGCTTCGTGATCTTACCTAAACGCCAGAGATGCTTCTCGACCCAACCAATTCATGTTCTACCGTAAATCAAAATCTGATGCACACGCTGCTACTGTTGACCAGGTTTGGGCATATAGCGGCTTCTAAATGCTTGGCTGATGCTAAATCTGCTCCCGATGCCGCCGTCTTGCATCTTACTCGCGAGGGCCTCCTCGAGAGCAGATTGCGTCACAGAGGCGTCTACTGTCAATTAGCACTGCAAAACAACGATGAGTGATTCTAGAGCTTACCATCCAAGTCACTGAAGCTGCTACCCATGCTTGGTGTACCGTCGCTTCCGTCTCGCGAGTACCCCTTTCTACTTGGACTCTTGCCAGACAGTTCGGCCGGACGCCGCGGTGAGAGTGGGCCAGCTGGGCGTCTTTCCCCTGTTGAAGGACCCCTGGATACCATGGCGGGCGAACTGGTCGACGAATCTGACGTCTCGGAGTGGTGAATCTTCTCCTTGCCTTTCGGGGTCCGTCGGGCATGTCGAGGGTCGCCCCGCAAAGTCGAACCCATATCTTGCGCTGATGTGTTGGACGATTGCGGCTTGTATTGGAGAAATGCAGGCTCGGTGTCTTCGTCTTCGTCTTCGAGATCAGTCGGTCCGTCACGCTGCTGGAAGCGGGGTGGGCGACGGATGATGCGCGATTGCGCTGGACTGGACTCATCGTCCGAGGATGTGGGTGAGCTCAGCTCATCGGCCTCAGGCGAAGTCGGTTCGGGGCTCCTGGGAGTACTCTGAATAGGGAGCGATGACAGGCGACGTCGCTGATTGTCGTTGGATGGCCGCGAAGTGGCAGGCTTGCTCTGGCGGGTCGTAGAGCCGCCGCCCAGGTTGCGTGTTATCGTACCTGAGGAGGCATTTCGTGTGATGTTCGGCCGAAGAGAGCTCGTTATTGGCGTCGCTGGCGTACTTGTATCGGTCCGAGGGAGCGGCGAATCGCGTCGGATGGATAGCGCGGAGACAGTTCGTTGGTGAGTATGTGGCTCGGCGCCAGGAACGGGGGATGGGGCAGAGGAGCCTTTGGCGGCAGCTGTGGCTTTTCGGACCTGGGCTCGAAGCTGCGCGGTATGCCTCTCGGTCAAGTAGGCTACTTGCTGAAGAAGGAAATCGACGGTGACATCGAAATGTAAGGCTCTAGGGAACGAGTGAGCTCGATGGTGTGATTCCGGTTCCTTGGCAGGACTTACAGTTCATTCCCTACACACAAATTAGCGATGCTCAAAAGCTCAAAAGTTCAAAATGCTAGCCATAACTTACAGTCAATCTCCTGCTTAGTTGCGCCAGAGATGATATTCCATAGCACATCGTCCTTGGCGGAATCCCAGTTGACCTGCATCGTGGAGTCGCATTAGTGTCGGTCCCGCGGCTACAGGCACCCGGACGGCTATGGGCGGATGGACTCATGGACTCACCGGAGGGGGATCCGTGAAATCGCCCCGCAGAATGGGCAGTCTGACGAAGACCGTGTACGTGGGATCAGTCATTCCGATCGTGCGTTCGTCATGCTTGCTGGCTCAGCTCTGGGAATGGTGACAGCCTCGGGGGATAGCTTGGGAAGAGTGCGACTTGAAGGAGTGAAGATGACGGAAGAGGACTGGCTCCCGTTGTCGTTGGGAGCCTTATCGGAGCTGCGCGAGCGATAAGGAGTCCGTGGTGGGGCGACTGATGACGGCTGGGGCCGGGTGGGTCAGGTGTGGCTTGGTACATGTGCTCTCCAAGCGTTTCGGGGAGCGAGCAGGACGACTTTCGTCTCAGGTTCTCAGCATCGTCCCTTGTCTAACCACATGCACTCACACCAATCGCGACGAACTACGATCTTTATAGCAAGGTGCTCCTTGCCAGGTACCTTCAAGAGAGCATCATCAAGAATTCTTTGCTGATAGCGCGGCATCTTGGACTTCAGGAGTAGTACTTTTTCGTCACGAATTCAGGCCGCTCAAATCCTCAAGGAGAAGATGCCATCTTAAAATCTTTAGCCACAACCAGCAAGCGTCTCCCTAGAATGTGAGGTCAGATCAAACTGGGATGCGAGCTCGGCTCTTAGCTTGAGCACCAAGAGACGTAGCCTACCGAAGTGAGCAGTATGAGCTAGCGTGGGATCAATATTCTGGTCAGCTCACTAAGCACCCAGCTGCCTTCGCCAACAACAGGCCACGATGGCCGTACTTCCTGTAAAAAAAGAACAGGTTTTCCGCCACATGCTCAGTCAAAGCTGAGCTGGCCTCACGATCCTCCTACAAGAAGGGCCAGGTCACCGTCGCCTCCATTGCCGAAGGCGTTCGCTATACTTGAAAACTATGCATTCACGACACCCCGACACATGACAGAAAATTGAAGCTGACCGAGATGCCGCCTTCCTCAGAAAGACATAGAGCCATTGGCTTTGGACTACTCGGTGTTTTGATCTTGTCATTATCGCTAGCATACTCTGGTGCATCTGCATTCGAGGTCACTGACTGGGAGGATGCGTGTAAGCCTGGCTTCATTTCTATCGTGAGTGTCTCCTCGGAACTCCAAAGCACTCATGAGCGTTGTAATTGATACAAGTTGTGTTGTAAAGAGCCTCGGACCTTGGTATGCGAGCGTGGGCAAGATACAACGCGGTGCCAGGAGGATACCGCTTGATGGCCAGAGTAAGCTTACTATTGAATTGAGACAGTGTAAGACTGATAGCAGACTGTATTTCAGGTTTCACGATCATGGGGTCGGATGAATTGGCACGTCATGCACAAAGTGATCCAAGTCTTTCAAGTGCTCTATTCGATTCCAGGTTGGACTACGGTCTGCAGCACACTCATCGATGGTGAGTGCTGACTTCTATCAGTGTTATGGTCTGCGATGCCGCCGAACCCGAGTACTTCCTACATCAGGTCATCAAGCACCCGATCCCTCACCTAAATTCAAGCAATCCTCACGAAGTTCACATTTTCAAAGACTCGGTAATCGAAGCCCTCTCGGAACTCAAAAAGGTGGTCGAGGCCTGGACACTTGGGCCCATTGAACAGGCGGTCGTGACTGTACCGCAATATTTCACCAGGGAAGAACGCGATGCCATCATGGAGGCTGGGGATTCCATTGGAATAGAAGTCCTTCGCATCATGAACGCGCCTACCGCCGCTGCTATTGGACTCGGCATAGACAAGCTCGACGACGAACTACACTTCATTGTGTATGACCTAGGAAGAGAAACCTTCGAGGTATCTTTGTTCGAGGTTGATGCAGGTGTGTTTGAAGGTCTGGCCAGTGTCAGTGATCACCAGATTGGCAAAGAGGTGGGCGGATTGATGTATCAAAAGCAGCTGAGAGGGAGCTCGGTATTCGACGCAACTGAGATGGAGACACTCGAGAAGACACTACCCCTTCTGGGTCGGGTTATCGAAAGCGCGAATCTTTCTAACAACGACATTTCAAAAGTCCTTATTGTGGGAGGCTACACCGAACCGGCACAGTTGAGATCCATGGTAAAGGCCTTCTTCGGTACCGGAGCCTCTGCGATCTTCGATTACCCAGGAAGTCTCCGTTTGATACCAGACACGTGGGACTACGACGAAGTTGTCACGTTTGGCGCGGCTGTCTTTGCCGAGAATGTCTGTGGACACGGAAGATATGATGAACTAGTCGGTACGTTTGAGGTGAATCCACGATCTGTCCTTCTCGAGATCATCGGAGGCGAGGCGCATCGGGTGTTTCAACGGTACACAATACTCCCGAGTACTCGGGCCATGACCTTCACCACGACAGTGGACGGACAGACGAGGATCGTCATACCAGTCTTCCAGGGCGAGCTGCCAGATGCGAGTAAAAACGACGAAGTACTTGTTCTCAGGTTGGACTGCATCCCGCCAGCGCCTCGCGGAACTCAGACTATCCAAGTGGTTTTAGAGGCAGACGTTGACGTGGCGGACGATGCGTACAGGATCTTGCTCAAAGCGTCAGCGCATCTCGTAGGTGGAAGAGAGCAGTGTTCGTACAGCGCTTTCGGGGTTCTTCATGACTTTGGTGCAGTTGATGCACTCACTGGCGAAGAAATTGAGCTTGAAGCAGCGTATGTCTATGGAGGAGTCGAGCCCGGGCGGCCTGGTATCTGCATCAATCCTCAAAGCGGTATTGGCCATCACTACGTGGCGGCAGCTGAATAAATCTCAATAAGAGACAATTAAAAGTAGCTGGTTGACTGATTCCAGAATCTTTGAATCCTTTCCCGCTGATTTGACCTTCGAAGCCTATTGACAAGGTGCCTTGTTAAACCCCTGAGGGAACTTCATCACTAACACCAGCAAGTCAATTCGCTAGCATGATGAACTGCGGTGCGATTTCTTGGAGGAACTCGTAAGACAAGACATTGAGCAGCTCAATTCGGCCTCCAAACTCGATAAATATTTGACGACCATCGCTAAAATTTCCATCGACCTCGAATACCAGACCCTTTCTGCTTTTAGACTATCCGCACCTCAAGTTCTCCACCATATCTCAGAGACAGGTCTTGCCCTGTAACGACTTCATGTAGGTGACCCACCGTCCCACAAGCCAAAGAGACAAATTTTCATCTTTTCATGCGAACCCCATCACGCTCACACACAACTCCGCTTCCTAGCCCGCGACCTAAGGATCCAATTTCGAACAGATTCAGCATCAAACAATCCGATATGGTGTAGTGGCCAACATGATGCCCTCTCATGAGCTCCCGTGAGTGAGAGGTTAGGCATAGCCCCGAGTTCGATTCTCGGTTTCGGAAATTCAAGATATTTCTTTTACTTTTTGACTTATTGGTACATAAATGGGATGCTAGACTTTGGCCCAGCTTTCTTCCATCCTGTCAATCAATGCATGGCGCCGTCCCGAATCGTTATGCTGCAGTATTCATTCCATGGTGGACCTGTATTCCATTCTTGTCATTCATCCATCCTATACCCCCTCCGGCAGACTTGATCTCCCCCACATCTCAGATAGCGAATGCCAAATAACTCGAAATCAGTGCTCGACCTCAGTCTCCAGGGCGGCTCTCAGGGCTGACTCGTTGCGGGGGGTGAAGGTGACCTTGTAGGAGCCTGGGGTGATAATCAGGTTGGTCAAATCAGCAGCGCCGGTGATGGGATCGGTGTCGATCTTGTCCGTTGACGACAGCTCAAAGCTGGCCAGCATGCGGAGAAAGGTGATGTACAGTTCGCGGTTAGCCAGCATGGTTCCGGCACACATGCGGTAGCCCATGCCGTAGGTGAACATGGGTGCTTCGGGGTTCTCTAGCCAGCGCTCGGGGCGGAAGACTTCGGGATCGTGCCAGAGGTCGCCATCTGAGGAAGAGTTAGTTTGCTGTTTTAGGAATTGTTTGTTTTCCTGTAAGGGAGTAGTGACTGACCCATGTTGCAAGCCCAAGAGTTCAAGAAGACTACGGTGCCCTTGGGCACCAGCTTGCCCTCGTACATGAACTCCTTGTTCGTGGCACGAGGCAGTGAGAGGCGAAGGACAGTGAAGAATCTGAGTGAGAGTTAGTCGACGTCACAGGTTGTCAAGAATGCCACATCTTAATCATACCTCAAGCATTCGCGAACCAAAGCGCGGAGGTAGGGAATAGTCTGGTCATCATGCGCATCACACAACGGGTTTCCCTCATCATACGTCTTTCTAATCGCCTCAAAAGCCTTTTGCTGAATCTCAGGGTGCGTCGCCAAGAACCCAATACCCCAGGTCGATACTGCAGTAAACGTCTCGAAGCCGGCAGAAAGCATAGTGAGACTGATCGATGTCAACTCGACGTTGTTAAGCTTAGCCTCCTCATCGAGCATAACGTTGGCCTGGATGCACGGCTCATGCGTTCCGTTGCGGATCTTCTCCTCCAGATCGCCGTTGAGCTTAGACAGGTACTTGTCGCGGCGGATTCTCATCTCCACGGCGTGGCGCTTCCCGGCCGAGAAGGGGTTGTATCGGAGGAGGGGGATGTAGTCCTGCATGTTGTCCGTGACGCTCCTCGTGCGGCTGATCTCGCCCTCAACCGTCGTGATTTCCTTGAACAGTCCGTCGTCGTGGCTAGGGAATCGCATGCCCCAGTTCAGCGTGACTGCCAGTGACAAGCTGAGTCTCTGGACGAGGGGAAGCGGGTCGATGGTGACTTTGCCTGCCTTGCCGTAGTTCAGAGCGTCCTTGAGGAAGTCTCTTGTCTCGAGGTCCAGGTGGGGGATGTAAGTCTCAATGGATGGGCGGTTGAGAGCGGATGCTGCACCCTTTCTCCTCCTCTTGAGAGACTCATTGTAGGGAGATGTACCAATTGTGGTGCCAGCAGTATTGGCAACGATCTAGAGCGCAAATGTTAGGGATCTCAATTTCGATCTGAGTAGACAATGAAACATACCTTGTGGAAAGTGTAGAGCTCCGGTCGTGAGGCAGTTGCTTGCGAGTTGTTTCCAAACATAACCTTGGCCGCGGCAGCAGTGTTCACAACCAAAACAGGGAGATTGCCCAGCTGGACCTGATAAACGGCACCAAACTCCTTGGCCCAGTCCTTGTACACCTGCGAGGCATTACCGCCAAGCTGGTGCAGATTCCCTATAACGGGGAGTCCCTTTGGGCCATGCCAAGCGGGTAGACGAGCCTTCGATCTGACGACTTCGTTTGCGATGAAGTAAACCAATACCGCGACCCCCAAAAATTTGGCGAGGAACTCGGTCGGTCGGTGGGTTGCCTCATGGACGAGGCCTTGTACGAGTTCTGCGACGAGCATGATGGGCAGGATGTACAGGGCGCAGACTGTAATTGCTGATTGAGGTCGTTGACTTTGTTGGTTCTGATTACAACGACAGACTAGACGAGCAAAATCATTTATAATGTAAGATAACTCATTGGGCGGAAATCTCACATCAGAATTCACAGTTCCCCGCGATTCGTCCTCTCCTTGGCCTGAGCCAAATCGCGGGGTCCCGAGACGGTGGTTTGGTGTCGGAATAGCAGTTCCAAATTCCGCCCCCGCGTCCCGGTGTCGCGCGGAGGCCGCACAGGTCACACTATGACGTGGGGTTTGACGGAGTAGTTGGATGTGGAGAGATGCGGGCATTGATCGGAATCATTGTCTGTAGTAAATATGGTATTATGCCTTCCGCATAATTGGGGAAGGTTGTGAGTTGAGGGGCTTGAAGAGAGATGGTCGTGAATAAGCCTAGATCCTGAGCAGTCATCGCCAGCTTGAGGCTCTCGAGCCGATTCTCATGTCCTCTAGGCTCCTCAACAACAGAAAGACATGAAGCTTGCTCATTGGCCGCAGCGATCCCTCTGTTGGTTAACTCTTGCCAACATCATGCATCGTAAAGAGGCCGAAATGTAGAAGAGTCGACAGATGCAGCAGCTTTCACGTAATCATGGTTCAAGAGGATGGCTAAGTATTGAACGATTGATGATACATCATGTCATTTCATAGCATATCTACAAATAAGTGTGACACATCCATGGAGGCGTTCATATCGTCCACAAGAAACGCATCTTCGGGACCTCTCTCTGGGTCGAGGCCGTCTCCGTCGGTACCCAAAACGGGTAAAGGAATCCCAAAGTCTCCCCCGCCATCTATCGAGTTGAAAAAGTCATTCAGCTCCTGCGCCATCTGAGCCTCGGTGAAAGGCTCACCCGAACCCGCTGGCCATGCATCAAGCTCTGGGCCGCGCAACCCATCATCGACACCTGTCGGCACGCTTCCAGGTGGAATGTCCATCCCTCCAGATGAGGTGGGTGGCGTGACCAGCGCGTTGCCCTGCTGCGTACTAGGCTCTCTGGCTTCCCTAGACTGAGGAGCATTCAATCCCAGCTTTCGCCACGCGAGCCGCAGGTCGCTTATTCTCCTCCAGAGTCGGCTTGAGACGTAGGATCTGGCGCTGAGACCCCTGATCAAGTCCAGTGCGGTGTGGAACTCATCGCGGACCGAAGCGCCATGTTCCGTTGGCGACAGCGCCACGACTAGGAAGATGACTCCGAGAGCGGAGACGAGGAAATGGTTGAAGCACATTTGTTGGTTCTGGTAGATGTCTGTTGATTTATTAAGAGAGTCGAGCATCTGTATGGTGTCCTTGGCTAGGTTGACGAGTGACTGGACCTTGGATTTGTTTGACTTGAGACTGGATGTTGAGTGGAGAAAAGGTTGGAGAAGAAGGATCTTCATCTGGTTGGCTCGCAGATGAAGCAAGACTTGTAGCCGTTGAAGACCTCTAGATGTCGTAGAGTTCGTATTGGGACTGGCCGTCTGCTCATTCGAAGATAGCCTCAAGTCTTCTGGAAGGTCTTCATACCATTGGTCTATGCGGTACAACAGGTAGGAAATTTCGTCATCTCTGATGGCGCCAGTTGCTCTTGCTGAGTTGTACGATGTCGCCCAAACCTTGTCGCCAATTCGGCTGTACTCTACCATGGCTCTGAGATACGGAACATCTTGATCCTGCAGTTAAGAAGGTTAATAAATATCTCCCCCACAACTGTAGCAGCGTCGTGGCTGAGTTTTGTGTAACTCACAGGTTCTGGTAATTGCTGGTCAACATCGAAGTTATGCATCACGAAGGGCAGCCCTGCGCCAAAGCCCCAACGCCGGTCCAGTGTATAGACACACCAAAATAGCCGCATGGCCATCTTACGTTTCCCGGCATCCTTGAAGGTTTTGCTAATGGTTGCTGACTGATGAAGGCCCATTTCCAAACACCATCGGGCAACAATGCCGACAAGTCTCCAAGCTTGCAAATCATCACCAGTCATAAAGCTATAAACAGCCTGGAGGTCTATTGTTAGTACTCTTGTAATTTCAACCCAATAAAAGGCGACACCTACGAGTAAGATGTAGAGCATAGTCGACTTGATGCTCGCCGATTCCCAGAGCTTATCGTGTGATGATTTCCTCACATCGAGAAATAGGGACCTGCCAAGTTGACTTGAGCCTCCAGCTTCTACAGTCAAGGCTGTAGATAGCACCATCTTAACCAAGCTTAGATCTTGAGGATCGATAATTGTCGGCCCTGGGATTGCGGCAAAGGCAAACCCAAGGCGAGAACCGCTGTTCATGGCATGGTAAAGGCTTCGAACTCGTTCGATAAGCCACCCAATGTCGAGGAAGGGGTACTGAATGCCAATCTCTTCTTCATACACATTACATAACCTTACAGCTTCCTCTTCGTTGATTAGCCACAAAGGATCTATTGACCCGACGTCTAACCCAAAGGCTGTTTGGATGGATGGTGAAGGCGGACGAGTTGGATTAACAGATCCGGGCATCCCGCCGGTCTCGTGATCGGCGGTGCCGATGCCCCGTGCCCGCAGATGTGTTCTTGCAAGACTGATGTTGAAGGTGTAACTGGCGGATGGTTGCGGCTCGTCTTGGCTAGTGGAGGATTCAACATCTACGACAATGGGGTCCGGTTGAAGTGCTGGGTCCACTACTTGATCATCCGGATTGCCCAATGGGACCGGGAGATCTTGGAGCACTGTTGGTGCAACCTCAGAATGGAGAGGGCTTGACTGGCTTTCCGACGGCTGCTGAGACTGGTGCCGTCGTAACTGATCCAGGCCTCCTTGCAGAGAAGCTACTTGATCCCTTAAAGACTGGATAGCTTGAGCATCGGTATCGCTAAGTACTAGGTTAGTCAACAAAATACCGTGTCCATCTCAAGCTGTATACTTACGCGCTATTCCCTCTGTCTTTGCGTGGTTTCTTCGAGGCCGGGTATGCGCCTAAGGCTATTAGTCTTCTTCGCTCTGTATCGGCAATGGGAGGAATAGATCGACCTACAGGTCAATGCCTGACGAGCGCAACGGAAACAAGGGCTCTTGCCATTACACTTGCTCTTTCTTTTCCGGCACTCAAAGCTGCAAGGTTTTCGAAACGTAATCAGTATAGAGCAACGACCATCGTCTGCTAACGTCGGAATCCCGAAGATGGGTCTTCTTACCAGGCCTTGGAAATGTATTTCCCTCGAGTGGTCCGGGTCTTTGGGGCACTCGGAATTCCGCTCTTCTGAGAACCGGGGGATCCGGCTTGCGGGCCGTCGCCGCCGCCGACCGAGCTGGGAGATTCTGGAGAATCCATGTTCCAATTGAAAAGTAAAAAGTGATAGCACGTGATCTCCTTCCGCTCTCTTCTCTTCTTCGTTCTTTTTTTCTGGGACCTGCTTCTTTGAGCGAAGCAGTCGGATGATAATCGAACGATAAAAGAGGTCGAGAGAAAAAGGGCGGAATTTGAGAGGTAGGGTTTCCGGGGGGTTTTGAAGGATCTTGGCTGGACATTAACCCCCGCCACCCCGCAAACTTAAGCCGCTAGATCTCTGGGGTAGGTTGGCATTCAGTGGGGGTTGATCACTATCCGTCAAAGCCGGCGTCACACCCGAAATCCTTCCCGGGATGCGTTTGATATTTGACTAATTGGGAGTCTTTGATTGATCACTCGTTCTCCAACACTCCCTTCCCCAGGAATACAAGATGGAGTACTGACTCAGAAATTGTAGTCACTTCACTGGACGGCCGTATGGGGATGGAGATAAGAGCAGGAACCTACCTGACTCGGTTGCTAGCCGGACTAAGCTTGGAAGGGATAGATGGTCTTGAGCTAAATATTTGCGGAATGGCGGCGTCCGCAGGGTTTCACATCACCACAACTATTGCAACTTGAAAGTCGAAATAGAGCTCTCATCATAGGTCGATGTTCCTCGAGATACAATCTCACTGCGAATAACAGTTATAGATCATGTTTATCACTGGGAACATTACACATCCGATTGGAGGCATGTTTCGTAGGTAGATCGATCATGTAGCAACTGCCCGTTCCAACAAAGATGGGAAGAGCTTGCAAAGGATGTGCGCATGCAACTTTCTGTACCATATGTGACTGTTAGGATCTTTCCAAAAAACTTAACCCCCTTCAAAAACCATCGAGATCTGGAATTCTTCACAGGCGCGGATCGGAGGTTCTTCTAATGATCGAATGCTACTGAGTATCGGCGTCCAAAATGCTTCTGTTTGAGGTGGGATGGCGGGGCTAGCGGCGGAATTTCCGGCGGTTCCTCACGCGCAAATCGAGGGCGGAACTCGGAAAGAGTTCCGCTATGACACTGATCGGTGTGTTTCACTTATGATTTGTCTAGGAGAGATATCTCTCGTGGAGAACATAGGCGACACCATTCTCCAGTCTCATGCAACAAGGTATGGATGGAAAAATTGGTATTTGAATGTGTGTAAATCTCAGCTGGTTTGCGCCCACGATTATATCGTACAAAGGGCGTAGAGAACATCGGTGCTGGCCATATCAAAGGTTCCGTTTCAAACTCCGAATGCCACCAACCGCAAATCCAAGTTGGCCCAGGCGTCTTGATCTTCTTTAAATAATATCTTCCTGATTGTAGCGATATCATATAATCGAGTTCTCCCTGGATCAAAAAATTTATCGTCAATATGCGTTCAATCGATGAGATTACATGCGCTGTCTGGGGTCTTTCCTGGTTTGGCCAGGTTCTTCAGTAATTCGGCAGAACACCAGTAGTTGCACGGCGGGGGAGGGGATGTTGAAACGGCTTTTCGGAGTACACGACGCACTTATGCGAAGAATAAAGAATTCCTCAATGATAAGCATGCTAACCGCAAATAAGCAAGTCAATACTGGGACGGCTTACCGACAAGCATTTAGATGGAAGACCAATACGGAGGGTATCCAGATCCTTATTGATTGGCTCATCATGACTGTGAGGCTTACTTCCCGGACACAGGTAAATCCTGGGCTAAGATCGATTACTCCTGGAACGCCACGACCTGGATGAACCCCCTCGGGGCGAGAACACTGAGTCCAGTCGAAACGCCATCCGACGGGTATATTGACGACCTGCCCCCGACGATGTTCGCCAAGTTAGCACCTAGAAGCAACGGTCTTGTCAATGCGCGTGATGTCGAAGATATCTGGCGGAATAATTTCATCGTGCTCATGATGAATTCGTCTTCCCATCTCATCTTACCCGGGTGTCTCTGGCGACCTTATGCTATTTTGTTGCACAGATATTGTTCAGCCCCGATCGATGCTTTGGCGGCTCCTCATTTACTCACGACTTCTATAGACTGATTTGCTAGTAACATTTGGCATGGCGATGCTGCGTTCTCTGATGGTTCAGACTTGCGTTGAACTCGGTTGATCGGGGCAAAGCAAACCGAGCGCTTGTTCAAATACACGAGGATCCAATTCTCATTACAACTCGTGGACACATCACTCCATCTCGTCAGACCAACTCTCCAGTCTCAAAACGCGGGGTCGACATTTTCACGTTAGTTTCTTTCATTCTGTCACTAGCGACATCGATTCGAAGTCGGATATTCTCACGAAATGAGTCTTTTGTCATCGTTTGCGGCGGACTCCGCATGGCCGCTGTGGGATAGCGAACCCATCGATGGGGCATTCGAACTCGACCTTTCACAAGGAACTATCGATCAAGGAGTTGTCAAAGCAGTTTCAAGACCATGGTTGTTTGGATACAAACCAACAGCGAAGTCAAACGGACGCGCGGTGCTCATTCTGGGTGGTGGCGGCTACATCGAGCTCATGGTGGGCCGTGAAGGTGTCGCTGTCGCACGCTGGCTTGCTTCTCTTGGTTTCGAGGCCTTTGTACTTGTGCACCGATTCCCGACAGCAGAAACAGGACCCCAGGCCCCCGTCGACGATGCCAGACAGGCGTTGCGTCTGATCGAAGAGAAGGCGGCGCCAGCGAGGTTAGCGTTGTGCGGTCTGTCCTCCGGCGGCCACCTTGCGTCCGCGCTGCTGGCGGAGTACCCGGCTTCGTGGGCGTCTTCTTCCGGGGCACCGGTGCCGAAGCCGGAGTTCGCCATCATTGGATACGGACCTATCTCTACCAATGCCAAGGGGCACACCATTATTCCCAATAAGACACCCCTCGAGCCGCCGGCGAAGCAGGAGCTTTACGATGTTGTCATCCCCGATCAGCAGATTTCGCGCCCGGCACCGCCAACCTTTATTGTGTATTCTGCCAGCGATCCCGTGGTGCCTGTGGTGAACGCATACCGGCTTGCGCAGGGGTTGCAAGCAGCGGAGGGGTCTGTCGAGCTCCACGTCTTTGCTGACGCGCCCCACGGCTTCGCTTTGGACACTGAAGGGTTGCCGGTCTCGAAATGGCCCTCAATGGCCGAGGAGTGGTTACGGCAGAGAGGATACCTGGCATAAATATTTGAGAAGTAGTAAATGTCAAATTCTACACTACATTTAGACTATTTACCTACTTGTTCTACATGAAGCTTGCAGAGGATCAAACCGCCTGATGAGACGAACGTACGACAAACTCAATGGGCTCCTGCTGTAAATGAAGACCCCGGCCGCTAAATCGAGTTGCATCAGGCACCCAATTAGCCCCCAGCCGCCACATCAGCCATCGAAGGATCATGCAGTCATCTTTAAGCGCCCGTTTCGCGCCAAATATTTCGGACTGCCACCACAGAAACCAGGAGCTGAAGTCGAAATGTCGGAAACTAATGCAAGGCTCCCGGGGGTTGCCCCTACATTGACACACATAACACAAGGGTCTCTCAGTATTGAGGCGCTCATAGGCCCATCATCATATGGAGAAAGTAGCCCGCCCTGATAATTTTTGCCTGGAGGCTAAAGAAGCTTGGATAAAATATAGACACTTCGGTCACCCGACTGTAACAGGCGATTACCGAAAATCTGATCTCGCTTGCCTCAATCAGGCTCCGCCGCTCTTGACAGTATAATGTCACACCTTGAGCTTCGTTCAACTTGAGAAATAGAGAAACTTCTTGGAGAAGAACGCTTTCGCACCCGTTTATTTCATGGCAGCACCTTAAGCCCCACTACTCCCAACATGGCGCCTAGGTCGGAGTATTCGCGGTCTTCGACAAATACCCGTAGTCTGTTCGATGATGATTTTACGGAGAACAACAAGAACGCTTTCATCGTTGGAACGCATCCACTTCTTCAACGGGATGTAGAGCTTGATAGCTTCCTAGCGAAAAAATCCGTTAGCGGCGAGGACAGAAGCGCAGACGACACTACCAATCACACAACAGCATGGTGTCCAACATGGCTTCGGTCAGGGACATTGTTGGCGTTCGCCGCTTTGTTCCTTCTCTTTGGCGTCTCTCTCATTGTCATGTTTCAATTCTCCCAGCAGAATAGTGGTCTGGTCACCACACGGCAGAGCCTCGTTTACCTCTGGCGATTTGGCCCAACAGCAAGTAAGCGAAAACTGTGAAGACTTTGTGTGTCAAGATAGGCTGACATTCAATAAATCAAGTCCTCACTCTGTTGTCCATTTTCTGGTCAAGAGTCGAGTTACAAGCCATTCGCTATATGCCTTGGATCGCTTACCGCGACAACCCATCGATGGGCAGAGACGGGTACTCTCTCGACTACACAGCAATGCTGTCGCCTTCGATTCTTTATCAGTCCCTGCGGAGAAGACACTTCCTTGTCTTCATCATCGCCGTTGTGTCTCTTTTCATCAAGATCCAGATTATTCTTGCTCCTAGTTTGTACAGCCTGGTCAGCTTTCAGGCTGAACAACCCGTCGATGTTCGTGTGCTCGACTCGTTTAATATCAGTACTCCAGCGATGTCCAACAGAGAGACTAGTGCATACTACATTGCAAAGGCCCTGCAGAATTTCGAGATGAAGCTACCATTTGGGGTCACAAAGGAAGGGGCCTACCAGACGTTCTCGTTTCGTCAGGGCTCCGGGCGGGGAACAGAAACGGAACCGATTACAGTTACTGTCGATGGGTACTTTGCAGAGATGAAATGTCTGAAACTTAGTAACTACTCGCATACGGACCTCAAGGAAACAGGCCCCGCCAGGAGCTATTACGCCTTCAACGCCAGTCTTTTGTTCGAGGGCTGTGATCAGTCTGTCCCAGTCACCACCGATCGAATGATGTGGATCAATTCCAGCCCGAACGAGACGACATTACAGAGCAGTTGGAATGTCAACAACCTCCTTAATGAGCCAAAGCCGTGCTCAAACCTTCCACAACAACACAACCAGTCTTTGTACTACGCAACTCGCATTGGACCGTCAGCAAAGAA